TGACTTTTGTTCTTGGGTCACTTCCCGGCGTCCGATCCTATCATCCTCTATTTTATTATCGATCGTTTCCTTCGTCTTTTGTCTTGCCGCGTTACTTCGTTCGTATAATAACTCCATGATAGGTATACATTGTAAAATTAAAGCCAAGCCGTTTTGGTACGCTTTTAGCTTGCTATTGAAGGTTGTGCCGTCTGAAACAATCAAATCTGTTGTAAAATCCTGTTATATAGAAAATTAAATGACGGGAAAAATAATAGCTTCCAGAGAAGAGTAACATACTACGTGCTTGATGTTCCGTCAGAGCGACTCTTTCCATTTGTACCGTCAAATATTCCGTACTTTGTTCCAACGAAAGTAGTAATTTGGCCGCTTTATCGTAATATAATTTAGATAACTGTAAGCTATTTCTTTTTTTTGTATTATCTGCGTCCGATTCGAATTCTCTATATACATGATGATAAAACGAAGCTAGTCGATGCTGAATGGTTGCAGCGCGGAATTGATAAACTGGTTGTCGCGGTCCGGGAGTATCCACATCACAATGCTTGAGCGCCTTCTGAAGGGTGTCGACCACTTCCCTCTCCAATTCCTCATTCTGCAACAGGAATAATTTATTAATTCATCTATCTATTAACTCATTATTTAGTTTTCCGACAGAAAAAATGTTACTGCACTTTATATCCGGCTGTAGGATAATCTTGCAATAGCGAGGCCATCGTATACAACGTTGTTGATAAATCCCACATTACGTTGTCCCATATTGCCGAATTCGTTTTTCTATCGCCCAAAACTTGCAGGGCCTTCTGATAACTCGCGAGTGCTTTGTTATAAAAATGGCGCTCTTGCGTGTTCTGTTTATCGTGTATGTGGGCGCAGAGTCGCATGAGCCGTCCCGTGTTTGAGTGCAACAACGCCAGATTCGCTTCGTCATAGACATCATGAAAGGCTGTAATACCGGATTCTAAATGAGTTAACGAACGCGTTAGAAGCTCGGTTATGTCCGTATTCGACGACTCGTCCGTTTGAGTTTCTTGCTGGTATCGAGCTGTAAAGAATTATATATTTTCGATTAATGAACGACGTGTATTTGCTATCCTTTATTTAAATTATAGGCGAAAATTATACCCACATCCTGCCTGATTCATGTAAAGAACGCCCAATTCATTATGAATATTTCCTAATCGCCTCAATAAATTTTTTCTGTCCACATCCAACAATTCTAATGACAGAGCCTTGTCATAACATTTATATGAACAAAGTAAAGTAGATTCTAAATTTTCAAGTTTCTTGGGCAGTAATTCAGCACCGTCTGTAATAAAATATGCATCTCAATAAGAATTATTCATATTACTTTCGTTACTTACTCGTTAATACTGTCATTTATTGATATTTACTCATATCTAGATCCTCCATACTATACACTTCTTCGACTATTTTCTCTTCCATTTCATTTTTCATATCATAATCCTTTCTATGCTTCTCCACATTGCCCCAATCTTGCACTATCATGAAGCAACAGTCTCCCGCCCGACCTAATAGATAACTGATTGATTTGTCATTTCTTACGCCGCAGAAGATTTCCAATATTTTCTGGCAATACAATACTTCCAGCATATATCTCAGAGAGGCGCCGTAATTTTTATTTATATATTCTTTCTCGGCGAGTACTGCAAATATCAATGATGCTTTCTCGTATAACAGAGTTTTCAAATGAGCGCTCCAGCAAATATTGTCGCTCTTCTTTGGCGCTTGCCATGTGGGTAATGTTTCTGCTTTAGGTTTACATAATAAAGCGTTTTTACTCGCTACCTCTTTCGTAACGTTTTTCTCATTTTTCTTCTTCTTTTGCTTATTTTTCTTTTTATGCGTGGGACTATGATTTTCCAAATATTTTTCCGGCGTGACATTCGTATCTTGTTTATTTAATGGAGCATAAGGCATAGGAATCGCCTGAAAAGGTTTCGCTACATTCGGATGCATCTCCTCGTATTTCCGTTTCTCCTTCTCGCGTTCTTCCGCTTTCCTTTGTTCTTCGTCAGCGTTGTCCTCGATCGGGAAATATCGGAGACACTCGAGTCCGTGAGTAACGTGTTCTAATCCGAATAAACATCTTTCTTCTACCATACCCGAAATCGGTGGTACTTTGTATTTTGGTTGTTCGCGTTCTGTTTGTTCCTTCACTGCAAGAATAATCAATTGTATCTTATACAAGAATTCTAAGAGAATAAAATATTTAGATCAAAGATTTACTTACTATTGGCTAGAGTTAAAGACTTGATTGCCGCGCAAATTTTCTCTTCTTCTACTTTCTCCTTTTCGTAATTCATGCTACATTCGCTTTGAGCGTCTTCCTCGTCGCTTTGATCTGACAGTCCTGGACTGGCTGGATCTGTATCCGATGGTATATACAAATCCGAAAGCATAAAATGGGCGGATGTGACGATCTGCGGATATTTCTCTTTGGCTAATAATTGAATGCAATTTTTCAACAGCATTCTAATTGTCCCCTGATGGTGATGGTAATCTGAGGAATACTTCATATTGCGAGCTACTCGATATAACAACATTGCGACAGGTACAGTAAAGGGATTTTGTCCTTTCTCTTCTGAAACATCACTGCACAATGATGTCAAATCATATAGCTTCACAACATCATCGTCCTCACCTAATGAAAAAGTATTACATGTAAATAGAAGATTCAAAAGTCAATGCAAAAATTATAAATTTATATATTAAACTTAATATTTACCCTTAAATAACCAATAAGTATGACCAGCCTTTGTTGCATTATTTTTTAAGAAACTCAGAATGTTTTGAGCAACGTCTCTAATTAGTTTAGCACTAAATTTGGAATCATCCAAATTTGGAAGATCCTCTGTCTTTATCAGTTCATATTTCTGTACAATACCATCTAAATGATAACACATTACTACTTCTGGAACATTACACATTAAATTATCTAACCAGTAGTCTATTCCTGTTAAAACATTGATCGGTTTCGACATATCTCTTAATCGTAGACTTATACATGGATGCGTCTGACCACCGAATATCGGCATGTCTGTTCCAATAAGCATCTGTATGTTTTCGAACGTCCACACAACGTTTCTCGCGAAATTGTGATTATAATTTGGATCAGGTACTTTTTCCTCTTGCGTTGGTTCAGGCAAAAACGGTTCTAACGTTTCCACAGGTAACTGAGGTTTCTCATTCTGTTTGCTACTATCCGCAAGTACAATAGAATGATAGAGAAACTTAGACACCAAATTCCTCTGTTGTAAACTATTTCTGCTATATGCCTTGTGGAAAAAACGTTTTTCCTTATCGCCAAGATTTTGAAAGATATGCTCATAGAAGAATTTCTTCAACCATTCCCAGTCACTTTCGGCCTGTCTCAGCAGGTACTTGTGTATATCAAAGTCATCCAACAACAGTGTGTTTTCAATACGATGTACCATCATTGAAATTACACCACGATTATAAGGAAGTTTAAGTAATTTCTTTATATTTTCTGCATCCGATACCACATCCACTTCACCAACACAATCAGGAAACATGTGCGCCATGCGAAAACTGGAAAATCCTGTACTCTGAGACCAAACATTCTGCAGACCATAACTCTCTGCTGAACTGCTAAGCCAGTTGCTGGGTGGAAGATTCAGATCCGTATTACATTGTAATTGAGCGTATGTGGCTGGTGTTTGAACCGCTGAATATTTTACCACTGCGGTGGACTTTACAGGTTTTTTCGGAGAATCTGGTGGGGCAGCCAAGGCTATTGATGTCATCTGCAATGTATAAGTTAAATAATTTCTGTTATTTATGGTTCTTTTATTTAATCTATTTATTAAATTTTTTTAAAAAGGAAACATTTTATCATTGAAGTATTATAAACCACATTCATAGACATGCATCAATTAGAATAATATGATATAATAAACAAAATGTTTACTATACAAGATATTTATCAAAAATCAAGCAATATTTCGCATATGTCGAATAGTTGATAACGAACTCACCGCCTCATCATTGATATCTGAATTTTCTGACATTTTCGTGCACCGTTTTTCGCACACGTTTTTGCAAAATATTCACTGTACTCGAAAATTTCTAGAAGAATTGAGAACAATTTGAGTGTATACAGCTCCGGCAATACAATCACAAACCATCTTATGCATGACCGTATTGCTAAAGTCGAACACTAAATTATCGACCACTGAATTATCAGTTTCCACTATTATCAAACTGAGATAACGTAGATTTCAAGAATATACTGTATCTTACTTCATATATATGTATTCATGTGTATTTTTCGATTGCATATAAATTAATATAAAGATTTATACTTTTTTAAATATTAGCATCAATCTGTTTTTTGCAATATCTTTTGCAATATCTGATTGATTGTTTTCATTTTGTGAATAACTTTTGTTTTGATTTTCTATAAATACTTTTTACATTATTTTCTTAATTTAGATATATTTAATATTTTATTTTGCGTGTATATTTATTTTTTTACATATAAATAACAATATTTTTTACTTTTTAGTTAAATGAAAAAATGCTATTTTGCAAGGAAAAAATGCAATTCTTAAAAGAAGTTTTGATGGATATATGTTGAAGAATGCTTTCTTATAAGAAATTATTACTTTCAACGTCAAAATGAAGCCCAAGAAGCTAGAAGATCAATCGAGTAAATCAAAGTCACAAAGCTATACGCTTATAAAATATATTATATAAAGATGACACACAACACATATTCTGATCAGATCAGTCTGTTATTCTCTCTGGCAACATAAATATTCTCAAAATTAAATTATTCGTGAGCGGAAAAAGTGAATGATGTACATTCGCGTCATAAATAATCCACACCACGTGAGTATCTTAAAAACGCAGAAAGTTCACATAAAGGCGACCTAAACGCTTCATCTGCGTCGCTAAACGTCTTAGGAAACCTTAGAAATCGATCACGTGTCATCGTAACCACCCGGTATATAAGCCGTCGATTTAAGGCTCGACGATCCAGTCGTCTTCTGTGTGAACAAGATAGAGAAAGAAAAAAAAAGTATTTTTTCACCATGGTAGCGAATTTCAAGGTCTACAAAAAATGTTCGCCCAACGGCAAGCTCGCTGTCTATCTGGGCAAACGCGATTTCATCGATTATCTGTCAGACATCGAGCCAATCGACGGGGTAGTCTTGGTCGATCAGGATTACGTAGACAGCGGCAGGAAGGTGTGGTGTCAGCTGGTATGCAGCTTCCGATACGGTCGTGAGGAGGACGAGGTGATGGGCCTCAACTTTCAGAAGACTCTTTATCTGACCTCGGAGCAGATCTTCCCGCAAGTTAAAAAGCCCGAGTCCAATCTTACAAAGTTGCAGGACAGGTCAAGATGATATTCTTATTGTTAGACTAGAATATAGTGTAAATTTTAATGAATCTTATTATACAATCAATTATGCATGTGTTAAAAATCAAAATCCGTCAATATTTAATGTCTACAAAATTATTCTTTGAAATGATTATTAAAATTCAGTCTATTGTATGTTCTTTGTTCAACGTAAAATCTCTATGAACTAAACTAACAAATTATAAAAAATTTAAATATATCTCCGGAATAGATTGCTGAAGAAACTGGGTGCGAACGCAATACCGTTCAACTTCAAGTTCCCGAAATCTGCACCGTCCAGCGTGACCCTTCAGCCCGGACCTGACGAAGTCGGTGAGCCCTGCGGCGTTAGTTACTACGTGAAGGTGTACAACGGCGAAACGGAGACCGATCTGACCCATAAGCGCAGCACTGTCATGATGGGCATCCGCAAGATCCAGTACACACCGACGAAGGAAGGTCATCAACCTTGCACCGTGGTGCGCAAGGACTTTCTGATGAGCCCGGGCGAACTGGAGCTCGAGGTTACCCTGGACAAGCAGCTGTACCATCACGGCGAACCGATCACCATCAGCATATGCGTGCGCAACAATAGCAACAAGGTGGTGAAGAAGATCAAGACACTGGTGCAGCAAGGCATCGACGTGGTCATCTTTCAGAACGGTCAGTTCAGGGCGGTGATAGACGCGGTGGAGACGCAAGATGGCTGCCCGATCAATCCTGGCTCGTCCCTGCAGAAGGTGTTCTACCTGAAGCCCGATCTGGGGAGCAACAAGGACCGTCGTGGTATCGCCCTGGACGGCGTGATAAAACGGGAGGAGACCGAACTCGCGTCCAGCACTTTGCTCACCTCGCCAGACGTACGCGATACTTTCGGCATCATCGTGTCCTATGCCGTCAAGGTCAAGCTATACTTGGGCGCTCTGGGCGGCGAGTTGACGGCTGAACTGCCGTTCATCCTGATGAGATCCAAGCCGTCCGATCGAATTAAACTGGTTCACACAGATAGTGTAATGATCGAAGACATGCCGCAAGAGAAGGTCGACGAGAAAATCAGCTCCTAGATTAAAACATTTTGATCTCTGCAATTTTTCACTTCGATTTGCTTCCGATTCAAGTTAAATAGATTCAACGGGCGTGATAAAAACAGTCTCTCGGACAGCGTAACATTCAAAAAGCTCTAAAGTCTAAGATAGACGTCTTAATATGTCACACATTTTATAGATATCCTTTAAAAATTGTCTGGGCTGTTGTTTTGGGAGAATCTTGATATTTTTTATTATAGATAGCGCTAATATTTCTTTATATAATGTAGGAAATAATTTATATCATGTATTAATTGTGTTTTGATATGGACATGAAATTGTAAGGACCCAGGATTACGTGTAACTGAATCCACTAATCCCCCCACATAATCCGTTATTAAATGTTTATTTCAAAACCTTCAAAGTGTGCAAATCTGACTACATTCGCCCCTGTTTTATTCAATTAAATCATTTCATGCGCAGAATGAGATTCCAAGTATATACTTAAACACAAAATCAATAAAAGAGAGTTATAAAATGTATGCGTCGCGATATTTCAGTACAATTTTTCTCGTACGTGTCATCGGGGCCCCGAGAAAGCATACAATCTTTGTTGTGAATGTAATCTCCCCGCTCTCATTCTGACACATTAATTCAGTAAACCTCCTCGTATCAATCGTCTCAAACTCGTATTATCAGTATCATTCATATACCGACGAATAGAAAGCGCGCCGATACACGCAGCCTCTCAACTAGAATAATTCGTGGGGCCCCATGAGAAACCGCAACGCTCTCGCGTGCGCTCCTCCACATACGGGGTGTCGATCTAATTCCCGACTTCCTGCCGAGAAACGTCCGAGGCGAAAGAAAACCACCCGATACGTACAATGGACATCGGTATAGCGGAGGAAGGAAAGAAGAGAGAGAGAAAGAGAGAAAGGAATAGAGAGAGAGAGAGAGAGAGAGAGGTACGGATAACGTCGCCGAGATTGCCCCGAGATAGAAAGCGTGGGGCCCCATGAGAAACCGCAACGCTCTCGCGTGCGCTCCTCCACATACGGGGTGTCGATCTAATTCCCGACTTCCTGCCGAGAAACGTCCGAGGCGAAAGAAAACCACCCGATACGTACGATGGACATCGGTATAGCGGAGGAAGGAAAGAAGAGAGAGAGAAAAAGAGAAAGGAATAGAGAGAGAGAGAGAGAGAGAGAGAGGTACGGATAACGTCGCCGAGATTGCCCCGAGATAGAAAGAAAGGCAGCAGCTGTGAGACAAGGAAAGAAAAAGGGAGAGGAAGGGAGAAAGAGAGAGAGAGGGAGTCAAGGGGTCGGTCGACCGGCTGCCTGATCCGGAGCTGAGTGTCAGTCAGGCTCGAGACACCCGCGCGAACGGAGCAAGAAAGAGAGAGAAGAGAAAGAGAAAAAGAAAGAGAGACAGAGAGAGAACGACGGTAGTTTGGCTGCTTCCCCTTTTTCGGTACGTTCTCCCGATGCGCCCCCTCTTCCAGCGGCCTCTACCTCTACCCACTCAGGCGAAGTAGTAATCTACCCGTTTGTCTCGGCGTAGTGTCGCGCGGAGTGTCGTACGGGATACGTGCAGGAGAGAGAGAGCGGCTCGCTGGTGTTGTCATCCGGCGTAATCACAACACCTCGCACACTGCTCCTCCTCCTTCTTTTGTGCTTCCCCTCTCATCATCGTCTAATCTTGTGTACCTTCATCAATCTCGGTGTCAATACTCGGGGAAGGCGACAATCGCGAGAGTGAGCCGGGCAAGGTTTGGCAAGGTTGACGACAACGAAGACGACGACGAAGAAGCGGCTATAGGCTACTCCGAACAGCAGAGAGTGAGTACACCTGTTTCACCTCTAACGAATTTATCTTCCGTTTTCTCGCTTTGAAAAAAACGGCGCGACGCACATGCACGGCGTGGCACATTGCCGCAATACTTCCGCGAGGGAGATTCGCAAGAGCGTGGCCTCCTCTGTCGTCGTGGCCCCAGACATCGGCATCGATCTCCTCCTCGTACCACGCCATCGCCGCCGCCGTCGCCGCCGACAACGAGCCCTCCGCCCTTCCAGCGACCGCTCGCGCCGGCTTTCGCCCTCTCTCTCTCTCTCTCTCTCCCTCCCTTTCTCTCCTCACGATTTTGCGTCGACCGTGAATTCGCGAGAGAGATTCTCTCCTTCGAATATCCTTGCGGATGTCACTCGTCGGGGACAAGACGTATACTATCGACCGGCGAACGATATACTCTCGACGACGAGGGACCGGAGGACCGGCGCGTGTGCCCGAGGGTGCCGGCTTTTCGGAACAGCTCGCGCGAAAGGGCGTGAGATTTGCGTTGGATATAGGCCTCGAAAGGGAACTCGTCACGCCCTATGTATTCTGTGACCTCCATTTGCCTGGCCTGACATTTGCGACTTCGAATTTGAAATTTACAAAGATTTTGTATCACAATTTTTTTAATACCGAATATTTTGAACGTGGCCTTTTTTATATGCGTAAAACGAGATTATATCATTTAATTAACAAACGGATAAACACATATTCAGAGCATATTTCGAGTACGCAATCCCTGGGCGTATATACGCATCGATAGCGGTCAAAGGTATAAATATTCGTTTGAAAAAGGATCATTCGAATATGATGAATAGAAAAATATACTTTGTAATCTTGAATAGAGCATTTTGTCAAAAAGGAACAGGATTTTTAGAAGTAGTAATTTTAATTTTAATTGTTATCGGATTATACGACAATAATATGTCGCTATATGTGACGTTGTGACGTTGCTTACCCTTTAAAACGTCGACACGGTGTATATTATTGTTTGACATTGATTCATATAATATTTTAATAATTATTCTACGAAATAGAAATATGATAAACATGAAATAAAAAAGTATAGGGGACTAAAAATTAATACTTTAAATCTCAATGATAAACGTTTACTTTAATAACATAATACGTTATCTACAAAGAAGGGAATATACATAATATTAATGATATCTGTTTGTTCTCGATAATCTCGTAGTTATAACAATAATGAAAAATAACAATACTTAAAATTTGCCAAAGTATCGCGTAAACATAAGAGAGATAATAAAGAGAGATAATAAACGAAATCTCGTTAATCGTACGGTAGGATTTCTGAGAGATTCGCCTACTGGCGGAACAAAATGTAGACCCATATATACACATAATGTCGAAGCGAATTCCGTGTCGGGTGATTAATATGGCAATGTTTGTAAATATAGTGGTGCGAATGAAAAACTAGCCACGGCGTAGTGCGTGAGATACTACGACAAATAGAAACTCTTAGTATAAGAAGCGCTCCTTCTCTCCTTCGGTGTCGGCACAGAGTTGTTTATGACGCTATAACAGTGTTGAGAGTACTTGTACACGAAAACACATTTCGAAGGGAATTTTATTAGACGCTTCTATTTGAATTGCGCCGAAGGATAAATCTCTTTCTCACGGCACGTTTCTTGTATACATAGTGTCTAATATATAATATTATTCTTCTCTTCTTTCGTATATAGGGAAATTATAAATATATAATAATCAATCGTGAATTTTTTTCGATTGAAAAAGAATTGATTCACGAAATGAAGCACGAAAAAAAGGTAAACTTTAAAATATTATGCATAAGAAAATTTTGACGAAAGACGTGTTTATAAAATTTCAGCATAAAGAAAAAATATATATATATACACCATTATCTTGATTTTTAATTTATATATATATAACACACAATATATTTTATATATATATATATATATATATATATTTAGTATTATATAAAAAATATATATTATCCTACATGTGCACTGGGGAATAAAATTAACGATAGGCTTGATATAACGGGTGTAAATTAATTGCGATCGAGCTCGGAATCGAGCTCGGAATGATTGAATGCCATACTCACGTAGCCGAAAGTACGCAGGGAATCGATTTCCGTAACAAATGGCTCGATGCGATAGTTAATTTTTCCTCGTTATCGGAAGAACGCTTATATGCATTTTTTTCTATATCATTTTCTACGCCTTGTATACCATACCCGCGCATTACTTTGCGTTCAACCAGTCGAGCTGCGTAACATGGTTCGTCGTTCCAGTCCCTCAGATCCATTAATTAACTCGTCTCGTTGAATAAAATATCTTCTCCGGTTTCTTTCTCTCCCTTTCTCGATCTTTCAGCGTAGAACTTGTCTGAGAAATTAAATGTCTCTTGCTAACACCTTACGAATCTTCGAATCGTTTAAATCCCGGAATTCGTTCTGACAGAACGTAGATTATCAGGTCGTTGTGTGCGTGAAATACGGACGTTTTAAAGCATATTTTTCTTAATTTGAAATTAGTCAATGTTTATATATATATATTCAATAAATATGTCTGGATCGCGTGTAAAAGTGCACCTTTCTAGAACGGAGGACGATCTCAATGTCGAAGAAATTCGACCTGAATTATCCGATTCACCACCTCTTGACATCGATTGGGATCTCTTGCAGTCGCGGCCTCGTCGAAAGCGAGTCACCTTTACCGAATCGTCCCAGTTACTTTCGTACGGCTTCTCTTGTCGACAGTTCGCGATGCAATCGGAGAACGCCGCGGAGTCTCTCCTCTCCGATGGACGTGATTTACATGCGGTCGTCCGACAACCGCAAATAACGACCTGCCCTGTCGTCTCGCACCCGCGTCGTCGTTCTTACGTCGGGATTCGACGCGAATAAAGTCCGGTTCCTCGTTCTCTCCCTCGATCATCCCGATCTTCTGGCGAACGTCGAGAAAACGGTCGGTGCGCGAGAGATTTTATATTTTGGCGGAAAATTAATTTTTATTATATCTCTCTTGTTCATTTAAAGAATTTATTTATATCCAAGAATTCGCGTACCAATCATTTTTTCGCTCTTTGACAATAAGAAGGCGCTTCAAAAAAAAACGCCGCAGTTTCTCTCTAGTAACTTTTATATATATACATATATTTTTTTCCTATATTTTTTTACACATTCTTTTTTATCTCTCTTATTTCTAACATTGCATGGTATGTCGACCTTGTCGGCGACCCTTTACCTCGCGGTGAAATTCGCTTACGGTTACTGCGCGTGCTGAAAACGTGCGCTTCTCGTCTGGTCGGCTACCTTGCGACTGTGTCCGATGCCCGTGCCATCGTATATATGCACGCGCAGGTTCGCTCGTGTGCTTTTCTCTTTTGCGAGTCCGTCCCGAGAAGCATCTACCTACCTACCTACCTACCTACCTACCTACCTACCTCCGAGGATCCGCGCTGAGAGCGGCTCCATCGCCCGAACGTGACCGGTCGGAGAGAAACGTTGCGGTTCGCGTTCGGAATCTTTAACGCGCCGCGTCGCTATTTCTAAAGCCAACCAGCTGGAATCCCGCGCGCTACATTCCGCTACGAGAGCCGGCTCTCTTTCTGAATCCGGTTAAACCTTTCCGCTTGATTTTGTATCGCGTCGCGCGCGTCGTCGAGGAAAAAGGTTTTATCTTTACTTTGCTTCGACGTCAGAATATGCGGGATAAATTTAAATATATTTGCTCTCTCGCATATTCGCGTTCACTCTCCCCCCGTTGAGCTTAGAAATTTATTTCTTCATCATTTTCTTGTATATTTTAACATTCATCAATTTTACGAACAAATTGATCTCACGATCAGTCAGTTCTCTTTCCTTTCTTGCGCTGTGTAGGGACAAATTTAACTTTATCCAAGAAAGTAAATGGTTGATGATATCCGCGAACAATTGCGAATAACACAGCTGTTTACAAACAATCCTCTGCGAGAAGCTAGCAGACAGTTCTCGTTGACTTTCAATCATATTCGAGGACAAAAGTCGCGTTGAGATTAACGAGTGTTGCGCTTGGAGAAAAATTGGGAGACCCCTTCCTTCCTCCGTTAATTAGCAAGAGACGAATTATTATTCGCAGCTCGCTTTAGAGATTCGCCGGGCATTCATGCGCGGATGCACTTTCATTTTCTACGGCGAGAGTCCGAGGAAAGACCCGTCAGAGAGACGTCAAGGAGCTCGGAACATCAGCGTTCGACATGATGCGGAGAGAGAGAAAGAGAGAGCGTGAGAGGATAAAGCGAGGAAGGGAAAGGAGAGGGAGGGCAAGAATTCCCGAACGCACAGAGCCCCTTTTGTCCCAAAGATCTGACGCGAGAGAAGGCCGTCGACCCAAAAGGTCCGTCGAATTTCCAGCAACGACACCGAGATGCAAGATGCGCTTGGCGCATCCTCGCCGCGTAAACGCCCGCATTAATTTCACGCGCGCGACAATTATAGATGCACTCGCGCGTATCGCGGAACCGAGCGAGGGGCCCACGCGCATCCGTTCCCACAATCGGCGACCGAAATAATGCGACGCGTAAGGGCCTGTAATCTACTGGGTGTCCCGCATATCCCCTTAACTACAGGCCTCTTGACCGATTTTTTTTTATCAACGATAAAATCGAGATACTTCGATGACTTTGAAATATCTTGTATAATAATGAGAGTAATATGGATATATATTTTTGAAAGGAAAAACAAGTAGAAGCAGTATTGACATAATCCACACATCAATGCAGATATATATTTAAATTCCGCGCAAATTATGTGAAAAATATATTTGAATGAAACTGTTACTTGAATAAAATCTTTTATTTTTGTATGTAAAAATACGTAATTTTTAATTTTTCGTATTTATTTTCTTAATTTTTTAAATAATTGCTTTTACAAATGTTTAATCGTTTTCTATTTATATAACGTGCTAAAAACGTTGTCTTATTTGTAGACAATACTCACTGCATCCTATTGCATACAATGGCCTTCGGATGGACATGCGAG